GTTTCGCTCTCTTATCATTTGTGAATTCACTGGAATAGCACTTTTAATTTCCTTTAAGATCTTTTTCTTTGCACTCACAACTTGGCTAATTGTTTGGCACGAGAGGCCTAGCTTTCTGCTTGTTGGCTTTCAACATGCCTTCCTCACTAAGGTTAAACATTTCTACCTTTGATTTAAAGTGAGAGATATGTGGCTCTTCCTCTCACTTGAACACTTAGAGGTCATTGTAGGGTTACTAATTGGCCTAATTTCAATATTGTTGTGTCTCAGGGAATAGGGAGGCCGAGGAGAGGGAGAGAGATGGGAGAACAGCTGGTCAGTGGAGCAGTCAGAATGCACACATTTATCGATTAAGTTCACTGTCTTATATGGGTGCGGTTTGTGGTGCCTCAAAACAATCACAATAGTGACATCAAAGATCACTGATTACAGAGTCAGCCCTGACGGCCTATTGATTAAAGTTTGGTGCTCTCACTGCTTCAGTGGCCTGGGTTCGTTTCCTGGTCGCAGAACCCCACCACCTGTCTGTCAGTTGCCATGCCATGGCAGTGGCTCACGTAGAAGAACTAGAACGACTTACAACTAGGACTGGGGCTTTGGGGAGGAAAAAAGTCACTGATTACAGATCGCCATAACACATATTAATAAGGAAAAAGTTTGAAATATTGTGAGAATTACCAAAATATGATACAGAGACATGAAGCGAGCAAATGCTGTTGGAAAAATGGCACCAATAGGCTTGTGCAATGCAGGGTTGCCACAAACCTTCAATTTGTAAAAAATGCGATATCTGTGAAGTGCAAGAAAGCAAAGCTCAATAAAACGAGGTATGCCTGTATATAGTGTCGCTTCCATGAGGAAATGTATTCTGAGTTTCAAACCTCGGTTTTATAAATAGTTTATTTTATCCATTCCTAGGTTATAGTGTTTCTGTTATTGGGTTTACACATTTATAATGCTGTATATCAGAGTGCTAAAATTAAAACTTATTAAAATAATTATGCATATTGATAGCAATCAATACATTATGTGGATGAGAGAGAGAGAATGATATTTATCCTAAGAGTAGCTTTTTCTTACATCTTTCTCTAAATGAAGTCCAGATCCTTCCAAGATTTTAAAATATAATAAAGAGATTTTTGGAGGATTTAGAGAAAAGGCTTATTCTTAAATAGAGGTATAGTTGAACTTATTTTCTGTTTTAAATAAAAGCAAATCTTAAAACCCAATGCAGTTTTCTAGTGTTACTTATCCTCTTTCTTTCCTTCCCAATTTACTACAATTAAATGGGGCCCCAAAATTAAATATGTGAAAATGTTACTTTAATATTTTAAGTAGAAATTTTAAGGTGAAATTATAGCATGTTTCTTTCTCTTAAAAATGTTAATAGCATAAATTATAAACTCTTCTAGCAATGTCTATTTTAAAATGTAATCTGTGAAAGATGTTTAAGTAGAGACCATTTTGCTATTTCACATGAAATAAATAGAGGTGAAAATTAGAATGTTATTCAAGTCTTTGAGGCAACACCCTTATGCCCTATCTCCACTGCAGAAGGAGAAAAACAATCTTTTAATCTCTGGAATAGATGTTACTCTTTTATGTGGCAGTTTTGCCACTACCTGTAAAAGAATGCTGCCTGGAAAATTTCTGGCAATGGTTAAGAAAGGGTGAGTGTGCGAACTTGAGGAATGCATGTTATGAGCTTGGCACCATCATTAATATTATACAACTTTTCTGATCCTCCCTTCTTTCTCCATGAAATGAAACCCCAAGTAACAAGTCAGTGGCAGTACTTGGATTAGGATACAAAATTCCTGCCTTTCCATTTGTATTTCTTTTTGTGACTCAGCCTAATCCTTTCTGGGAAGTATTCAGACCACATCTGCCTGAATCTCCTGCCAATTTCCTAATTTAAATGCCAACGTCAGCTGAATCAGCCTCCTGCCAGTTGTCTGCCTACTGCAAGCAATAAGGTTTACATTCTCACTCTTGTGATTAAAAAAATATCTTGAGTAAACACAGAACTTCTCACTTTTACTAATCAGACACCTTCTGTAGACTGCCCTGCTTTTCCACTCAAGGTGTTTGTGTCTGTTGTCTCTTAAAGGGATTTTTCCCAAGAGAAAAATCACGGCAGTTATGCGTGTTCTTTTGCACTTGGGGCTTGTCCAGGGGAATCTGGAACCTGATCAAGATGAATGCTTTAGGGGTCGTGTGAAGTTAGGATACAGGTGGTGGCTGGTTTGTGCATGTCTGATTGTGTTTTTAATATATGAACTGGCGATAGGAAGCTAGTATGTTCTGAAACTACCCAAACCTCCCTACTCTTGAAGCTTGGTTTTTCCTTTTCCTCCTACTCCTTTAACTTCTATAAGCTTAGATTTTGCCCAAGCCAAGCCTGGACCCCTTTTTTCCTTGTTCTATTGCAGGTCCTAGGTGGGCTCTCCATTCAGGTTCTGATGATGAGTAATGGGACAATAACTCCCGCCTCAGAGCTCATCTCCTTGGCATTATCTGCACCCCTGTTCCACCTCCGGAGTCCCTCAAAGACATAGATCATGCTTCATACTCTGTAGCTCACATGCCAACTTATAAAATACACAGGCTAGTTATAGTCAGTTCTATGAATGGGTGCTACTCTGAAATTGTAATGATTTTCAATCACAAATTGTGGGTAGCAGCTTTTTCTTACATCTTTATTGTGATATTATACATGATCGATGTAGCCTCTAGGGACTGAGTTTACTCAGCTTCGTACTCCCCATCAGCATCAAGAAGTATGCGGTCCTCTATATATTCACTTATTTCAGTGAAATAAGAATGACAGCATTTTTTTCAGCTTATGTCACTCTCGTTGCTGATAGCACGAATAATACTAATACTAAAAAGTGATGTCAGACTACCTCAAAAGGTTCATGGGCTTGTTTCAGAGATAAAAAGTGTGGAGAGAACCCTTGGTTGCATTCTGCTCTGCAGTAGGCTAGGCCAAGAAAGGAGAACTCCTTAGCAAGGAAGCAAAGACATCAAAGCTTATGTTTTACAAGCTTCACAGAATAGATGATGTAGTAGAACAGCTTGTTCCTTCCCGTCCGCACCCTCCTGGCTTATTAATAAGTGAATAGCATCTGCCTTGATCTTCCTGAGATAGTTCCTCTTAGTACAACCTCTAAGTGAGCCATGCCCAAGAATGGAAAAAAAATTTTTTCTCATTGGGAAAAGAATGTTGATTGGAGCGCTTTTGGCTGTGTGTGTGTGTGTGTGTGTGTGTGTGTGAGAGAGACAGACAGAGAGAGAAAGAGACTATGAATGAATGAATATTAGGTTTGGGTAGAGGAAATGTTTTGTGTTCCTGATAGTCCAGTGAGAAACTCAGAGCATGTTTTCCTATATAATCACTATCAGAGGGTAGTATGATTTCGGTATTTAATTTATTAAAGGATTATTTTATGGAAAAGTGCATTCCTTCTTCCCAAAGCTGCATGAGAAGCGATCAGTCTTTTGGAACACAGCTTATTGGGAAGCTAGATTCCGCTAGGCAGATTTTTCGATGAGGCAATATTATAAAAGCTGTGTGTAAGCAGAAGCAAGAAAAGTGCTCACTAACTTTTTTTTTTTTAATTAAAAATCTTTTATTATAGAAAATCTCAAACACACATGAAAGTAGAGAGAACAGTATAATAAACCCTCATACACCCATTGCTCAGTGTCAACGATGAGCAATTCAGTCTATCTTGTATTATCTCCACCTTTACCCACTTTCACCCTCATGTATTATTTTCAAGCAAATCCCAGACACTGTATCATTTCACTCTTAGATATTTTAGGTTGTATTTCATGTTTTTCTATCAGATACTGACTTTTTCAAAAAACATAACCATAATACTACTGTCAGAATTGAAATAAATTTACAATAATTCCTTAATATCATCTAATATGCAATCAGTGTTCAAATTTTCAATTGTCTTATAAAAATTTCATAATTTTATTTTATAGTTTGAAACAGGCTCCAAATTGGGTTCACTCACTGCAATTAGTTAATATGTGTTTTAATCTCTTTTCATAAAAGTGCTCACTAACTTTGATAACGTTTTTCATACACATGAGAAAAGGAAAGAACTGGAAGTCTAATCTTGTACTAGGAATAACTTTCTGAGCAGAGTATTAAAAAAAAGTGAAATAAAAAAGGCCCAGGTTTAATTTACATTGAATGAAAAGTTTAAAGACTGCAGCCAAGTTTACAATAATAAACCTTTTTTCCTTCTCTGACTTGTTTGATAGAGTTGGGATAGTTTTCTTGGGAGGTAAGGTCTGGTGCCTTAAAGTCAAAGAAAAAAGCTTTGAGGAGAGTGGGAGAGGTGGAAATGCAAACATTGTTTCTTTCATAAAAGTTTTCAAAAGAAGAGATAAGTGACAGAGGAAAACTGAAAGTCAGCTTGGGAGAGAGGGGCATACCAGGCTGTAACCACTGCTGGAAAACAAACAGCACAAACTTGCCTTGTGCGGCCATTTTGTCTTCTCTGGCCCCTGGGCCTCTGGTGCCCAGTGCTCTCTATTTTGTTCCTTTTTCACGCCCTTTGTTATGGTCTCTCTGTCCCTCCGTGTTCTCTCATCCTCTCTCTGCCTCTTCGTGACTTTCCTTTTTTCTGACACTCTCATCTAATTCCTCAATGTCTTCAGTTCATTTATGTCTTATAAAGAAACTACAAGTTGTAGGATAAGAAAATGAAAGTTTTTTTTTTAAGCCACTTGATGTAAATCAATAGGAGTTTTTCAGTAAAAAAAAAAAAAGAACATAGAAAATACTGGAAATTTGCTCACATTTACTGGCTCAATGTATTTCCAAACATCTATAGAGCTTGTAAGACCTAGTTAATCAGAGCTTCCTGTACATATTATTTTTCATTAATAGTATACAATAGCATTTTAGCTGTTGCAAACTAGCTTTTAGATAGTCATAAATGATAATCATATGTAATCACATGTTCTTCCTCTTACAGCTTCACCCTTTACAAGTCTGCCTGTCCGAGAAGAAATGATAGCAAAATACTCGAACCTTCCCTTGGAGACTCATAACATATCACTAACAGGTAAAGGTATTGAGTTTCAAATAAGAAAATGCCCAAATAAGTTTTTATTTTTAATTAAGCCCCTACTTTTTGCCTTGTGAAGTACTAACCCCTGCTCACAGTCTGGTGGGAGAAACACACCAGTACCTTATACAATTAAAATGCAGTATATGGGAGTCTAATGTGATGAGGATGGTGTGCTGTGTGTGCAGGGAGGAGGCGCCTACTCCCTGCATGGGAGGGCTAGGAAAGGCTCTTTAGAAGAAGGACGCTTGGGAAGAGGGGAGGGTTCATTCTGATTTGCAGAGACTGTTAATGATTTCATCAGTTCTTGCTGGTACGTCTGTCCAAATCACTTGGCATTGAGGGGAGAATTCATGTATCTGTTGGAAGACTTTTAGGCAGAGAAATTAAAGATGTTATCAATGAGTCAATGACAGTGCTAGGAAAAAACAAGTCAAGGATCGTGAAAGGAAACTCAGCTCTGCTTTGTCTTTTCACAGTCTTGGATTCCAGTGCTTCAAAAGTAATCTCAGAGTTCCTGAAATGAGTAAGAGTAGTTATCTGTGTTAGTAACAATATTAAAAGTATAATTAGAATTAAAAAAATTTTAAACCTGTTTATTAAGTCACTAACACGTTTTATCCAATTATATGTCCAGTCTTTAACTGTCCTCTAGTCTGGAGAACTGTTTCTCTGTTTCTGTTTCATATGAGCAGAAGGTGTGCTTGCCCTACCCACCACTGCCATCTGACACCAGTGGAGTGTTTGCACTGAGCTTTTTGGTAGAACATTTTGATGACTTTGGGCCACTCCTGTTTGTTCCCAACTGTCCCCATTCCAATAATTGGAGTTTATTCTTACTTGTAAAAAGTAATTAGGACACTCCTGTATTGTTTCTTGTTCTCTTACTTTTTGCGTGTCTAATGGTTGGTTTCCTCTGTTAGAAATGTTTCTTTAAGAGAGATTCATGTGAAAAGCTGTAAGTTTGCAAATCCTTTGACCAGCCTGGTAATGTTGGCAGCAACAAATCCCTCACTTACCGAGTGTAGCTGGAGCCTGGGGAAGAAGGGGTCAAATGCCTAAGGAAAGAGCAAGAAATGGACTTTTTAGTTGATGTCAGGCTGGTTATTTACTTACTTAACCTATTGGGAGGGTTAAACTCTTTTTTTTCTTTTGGTGAGGAAGATTGTCCCTCAGCTAACATCTGTTGCCAATCTTCCTCTTTTTGCTTGAGGAAGATTGTCCCTGCACCAACATCTGTGCCAGCCTTCCTCTGTTTTGTATATGCAATGCTGCCACAGCATGGCTTGATGAGCTGTGTGTAGGTCCGAACTTACGAACCCCAGGCCGCTGAAGCAGAGCACTCGAACTTAACCACTACACCACCCAGCTGGCCCCTGGAGGGTTTAACTCTTAACCACTTTTTTATTCTGATACCGGTATTAAAACCAGTACGGTCATGCGCCACATAAGGACATTGTGGTCAAGGATAGACCGCATATATGACAGTGGTCCCATAAGATTAGTACCAAATAGTCTAGGGGTGTAGTAGGCTATACCATCTAGGTTTGTGTAAGTACATTTTGTGATGTTTGCACGATGACAAAATCGCCTAACAATGCATTTCTCAGAACGTTTCCCCGTCATTAATCGGCGCATGACTGTATTCCTACTGTTGTGAAGAGACCGTTCACAATTCATAGTTGTCCATTTCTTGCCTTCTGCCTTGGCTTGATCAGATATTAGTCAGGCTTCTCTTCCTCCCAGGCCCCTGAACTTCGGCTTGCTCTAAGTCTAAGCAAGCATTAAATGCATGACCGCAGCCCAATCGTGCTGTCTGCTTCCACCCACTGGTTTGCCCCATTTCCTTTCAAAAGTTCCTGCTAGCGTGCTTACCCCTCCCTATAAAAGAAAAGCCTTTTTCTGTTTGATTTTGAGATGCTTGCAGATCCAAAGTTTAGAGCATTTTCCCTATTGCAATAGACTTTTTGAATAAAGTCTCCTTATTTAAGTCTGAATTTGTTTTTATTTGACAAAAGAAAAGATTTGACATTAATTTTGAAGCATTGGATTTCTGAGCTGTGACCCAGATGGTTGTATTTTCATGTGGGTTGTTGTTCTGGGTGCCTTCCCATCAAAAAGTTTGGCCTTAGGAACTACCTTTACTGAAATATAGAATTTAAATCTGAAGGTGTATTTATGATTATTCAGAACCATAGGTTTTCTTCTTGCTGCTATCACTAGGATTTTTAATCTACTTTGTGAATGGAATGTTTTCATTTTGTCACATCATTGTTGATTTGAATTACGCTTAAAACATTTCTATGTTGTTCTTATTGTTTTCTCTTTCCCTCTGGCCATTTTAGAAGTTGATCTCTCTGTTGGGATAAAATATTTCCTGTAGAGAGATTCAAATGTAATACATTAGTTGCACATTTTGGACCAGCATGACAACGTTGGCCCAGCTCTTAGCAGTCTTACTTACCCAAAGATGCTTGAGACTGGGAAACAGGGTCCTGTGCCTGGGAGAATGAAAAATATGACCTTTGATTCCTGAAAGCCTGATTGTTTACTTATTTTATGTTTTTAAAATGTTACTCATTATTTACTTAACAGACAAATATATACATGGTGTTGACTGTGTACCATGTGTGTATTTCTAAATATAACAATTTAATCCTCACAACAACCCTATGCAGTGGGTACTATTACTTTTTGCAATTTGCAGATGAGGAAGAGGAGGCACAAAGACCTTAAGTGAACTGACCAAGGAGCTCAGTGTTAACCCAGGCAGTCTGGTGCCGGGGGCCATGCTTTTAATCATTATACTATGCAGCCTTCCTTAATGGCCAATTACCCATTTCGTTCAACAGTGTTATTAAAACAATCATACCCATTGTAAGGAAATGTACGTTAGTTTAGAAACTATGTAAAAAGTTTCAAAAACAATGAAAACAAAGCTATTCTAATTGCCTTATTCTTAAATAGTTTCATCATAGAAATTGCGTTTGCTGAGAGAATGAATATGTTTGTGGAAGTATAATTGACTTGACTAAGTTTTTTTTCTATCTGATATGACTGGGTTTTTAAAACTGATCTTTTGATAATGGTCTTTTTTTACATCACTGTACTAAGTTTCCCTTTGTCAGTATTTGAAATTCATTGTTTGTGTTACAGCAATTAGAATGTTTCGTTATTGTTACTTTTATTGTTCTCTTTCCCTCTGCTTATTACAGTGTTTGGTATCTCAATCAGTGTGTTGATAGTTTAACTGGAGGTCAGCAGTTTTCTTAATCACCCTGGTAATGTTGGCATAGGCTCTCCTCAATGGCACATTTTATTTACCGTGGTGCGATGTGAGCATCTGGCCTGGCAAGGTCCTGGTGAGGCAGGGAGGTGGACAAAACAGTCGTGGAGGAACAGGTATGCAGATGAAGGTACGGAGGAAAATTTCAAGACTAGTCAAGGTCAGGAAAGGTAGTCACGTTGCCTAGAGCCAGCCAGGCAAGAGGTCTGGGTTAGGATCACTCAGATTCCAATGGCAGGTGCCCGGTCAACGAGATTGAGGAAAAGATGTGCGAGTCCCTTATATTTGGCTGATCACACATTTTGTTGCAGAGAAAGATCCTCGAATGACTCCAACGAGATGCAAATGTTTATGATGTTTCTCTACTAGTGATCACATATTATGTAAAGACTGTTGACATACAGAGAAAAATGTATTTAATTGTCAGATTATTACTCAATGCTGTATTCTCAAATGAAATATTACATTGTTGGAAACAAGAAATATGCCTTTCTGAAATTCAAATGGAACCATGTGCCTTTTAAATTTTTCCTTGAAGTGATCTTAAATCAGTTTAGAAAGTAGGGAAATAACCATCTTACCTGGTTAATTAAAGTGGAGGAAAACAGTGACCAGCAGGAACTTTGTTGAATAAAATTCAGCCGGCATCTTTTCTTGGCTAATTTTAGCACGTTTTCTAGAAAATTGCTGAATCTTTGATGAATTATGTTTGGTAAACCTGTCTTCATTTATGTAGAAGCCATCCACATTTTCTAATATTTCCCTTTCTTTTGAGGATGCCTACATAACATTTCCAAAAGTTTGAGAATAAACTGTGCTTATATAACACCAGCCACATAGTTCCTAGGTCTTGAGGGCTACCAAAGGGAGCACTTGGAGATTTTATATATACGTATATATAAAATACACAAACACACACACTTTTATACTCAGGTTGGGCTTATCTCCTTTTAGGTTTCTCTCTACACATTGGTGATTTTATATTTTAAGCTTATGGAATTTAGACTGTATCACATCAGTATTACACTGGTCAGATGGCATATAAATAACTTATTGACAGATTCAGTGGAAAAAAAATGATGATCATGATACTTTATTTCAATATGAGCTTTATTTTGGGAGAGGGGTAAAAATTACAAGAATGAAGGAGCAGTATTCTTGTGTTATTTTACAAATTTTGAATATGAAGTTTAAGAGAATGTATTTATTCTTATTCATAGGAGTTATTTTATAAAGTCAGTTCAGCTCCATATAGTAAGAAGCATCACATCAATGGAGCAACAGCATGTGACAAATAGGATAGATTGCTTCACTTTTATGTAGAGGTGTTGGCCTCATGTTAGAGTGGCCTTCTGTGTCTGTAAGGACTCTGGATGTTCCATCCAGATTTTAGGATGTAACATGAGACCTCATTGACTGCTGCGGTAAAATGAAGGAGAGCTGCGTCGCAGAGCTGTCCCATTCCACCAGGTTTCTCTGTTGTAGTGCACTTAATTCTTTTTAATGAGAGCTTCTACTTTTAAAGCATGTTTGGAAACACTGTCCTATGCAAGAAATTTTAATTGGCTTTTTCTGTTTTTTTTTGCTTTTTGTTTTTTGTGAGGAAGATCAGCCCTGAGCTAACATCTGCCAATCCTCCTCTTTTTGCTGAGGAAGACTGGCCCTGGGCTAACATCCGTGCCCATCTTCCTCCACTTTATATGGGACGCCG